ATTAACCCTTCTCCGCTATTATTCGTATTATCTTCTCCATATCTACCTACTACTTTATGGTTGTTCTTTTTTCCGACTTTGATGTTGAGGTCTTCCAAGATTATTATTTCTCTTGTGTTACCAACCTTTGTGATTTCTTGATTGAGTTCGAAGAAGTTATCTTTTACATTTACAATAGCATCATCATTGATTGAATAAATTCCCAGACTGATCAGTCTGTATCCTTTTTATATATATATATATATATATATATATATATATATATATATATATATATATATATATATATATATATATATTCATTTTCTGAGGCGACGGTGAATCATAATGGAGACTTCTTGTTGAACTCTACGTTCTTTTGTAACTCCGGTGTAGAAATGATCGTGTCTTTCCGTTTGGTTTCCGTAATAATAGCTATGTCGTTCTTTATTTTGTTTAGTTCTTCCAAGATTTTTTGAGCTTTCTTTAAGATCCCGTGGACGTTACATGTCGCAAAAATCATTTGCCTGTTCCGTAGCATTTTACGTCGTCGTAAATCAGTCCGGTTCCTAGGCTGGATTATGCATTTATATAAAAAACAGTTCTTTTCAGAACTATTTAGCGACGTATTAGTGTTATTAATATCTTTAGGGTGCCTGCCCGTTCCAAACGTTGGCGATCATTCTGACTATGATGACTTTGTTGCTTGTTATACGAAATAGCTGTGTTAAGGTCTTTATATACCATGCTCTCAGGTTAGCAAGCCAGGATATTCTTCTTCGTCCTGCGGCTTTTTAATTTTACCCTGCAAAATGCATTGGAGTAGCCCGTATCTGCCTTGATTTCTCATTATATGTCTCAAGTATCCAGCTTACGGCTCTTCACGATGTTGACCAAATATGCGGTTGTGTTCATCCTCCGCAGTACTTCTTCATTGGTGACTTTGTCTGTCCATGGTTTCATTGACGACTTTGTCTGTTCATGCTATTTTCAAGATTCATCTGTATCCATAGCTCAAAAGCTTGAAGTTTTGATACAGTTTTCGCCTTCAATGTCCACGTTTCTAGTCCATACAGAAGCACTGAGTACACCTAACATTTAAGGGGCCTTAAACATAAACAAAGTTAGGTTAAAATCGATAACTGGATTAATCAACCAAAAAAATATGTATTTGGTGACTTTTTTAGCCTAATTTTCTTGGGTGTAAATCTGTCTTTTTAGTTTACTCCTCCTGGTTAAAAAACAAATCAAAATCCACAAGGAAAATAATTCCTGCAGCTGGCTGTATACCACGTATCACAAAAAAGAGGTTAAATCCTTGTTAGTGGGTATATTTAAAAAATCCTTAAAAGGGCTAAGTACATCGAATTAACACGAACGTTTTCGGAATAATAATTCCATCATCAGGTTTAAAAATGTCTTAAGCTTACAGTTTAGAAATTTAAGTATTTCATAATGGTTGCAAATCTCCTTCTTTAAAATTTTGAGTTGAAAGGTGTTCCTTAAGGTGGCTAGAGCATTTCCTGTAGTTTTGATTCTACAAAAGGTTGGAAAAACTTTGTAGTTAATACATTGTGAGATGAACCATATATCCAACTTAAGAGTACATCTTTTAGTGGCTAAGCGCATGTATTGAAGAGCCAAGTTGACCATACTGTCAATTAACTAAATCCACAAGGAAAATAATTCCTGCAGCTCGCTGTATACCACGTATCACAAAAAAGGTTAGATCTTTGTAAATGGGTATATTTAAAAAACCCTTAAAAGGGCTACATCGAATTAACACCAACGTTTTCTGAATAATAATTCCATCATCAGGTTTAAAAATGCCTTAAGCTTATAATTTGGAAAGTTAAGGTAATTCCTTTTTTAATATTTTGAGTTGAAAGGTGTTCCTTAAGGTAGCCCTTTTTTATAAGGGTTTTATAAATATACCCATTTACAAAGATCTAACCTTTTTTTTTTTTTTTTTTTTTTTAAAAAACAAATCATATTTATAGTGAGGAAAATAATATTATTGTAAAATATAAATAAGTTCAACAATAGAAAACTAAAACAAGAGCTAGAAAAAAAGTGGGTAGCACTTACTCTTTTCTAATAATGTAGCCACTACATCCAATTCCAAATTATCTACAAAATTGTAAAAGATTTAAGTTAATTTGTATTAAACAGTTTAAAAATATCAAGGTAAGTGAAAACTGGACATAAAAATCAAAGATAAGATCGCTAATTTGACAGGTCAGAGCCATGTTTATAAATATTTACACTATAGCAGTTAAAATCCGTTTTACGCCTTTTAGTACAGTCACTGAAGGTTTTCAGTCCGATTTTGTTGAACCTCCATCGATATTCATAAAAATTGGTGAGTAGTTAGAGGATACCTTAAGAAACAAAAATGACATGGTGTCAACTAGCGCTGTTACCCTGGGGGTGGATGCCACCCCTTCTCGGGGATGGAAATTATTTTAATAAAAATAACCGCAGGAATCAATAGAAGGGCCAAATCTAAACAAAATTGATTTTATAAAGTTATTAAAATAAATCAATACTTTTTTCAGTTATTGAAGATTAAGATTTTGATTTTTCGTGAAAAAATGCATGTTTTAAAGCGGTTTTACATAAATAACTCAAAAACTAACAAAGTTTTTATAAAAAAGTTGTCGATACCAAAATTAAGAAAATTAAAAATTGAATGAACTCCTTGCATGAAAAACCTTTTAATATTAATTCAAAGTAAGTTATAAGTAATTAAATGTATTTTTTTTTTGGCGAGTACTCAAATCTGAATATTCAAGCTTAAATAACGGGAAAAAAATGCATTCTATAAAATATACTTATTGAACAATTTTCAAAGTACTTAGAAATACCTCTATAATAAGCTCTAGAAGAAGTTAATAGCGTCAAAAGTAAGCAAGTAATGATGAAAATAAGAGGACCCTTTCGAATTTTTTTTGGAAAAAGTAAAAAATAAAACATACGCCATTTCCACAACAATTAAAATTTATAGTAATCCCTATAAAACTTTATTTATTTAAGCATAAGTAATGACCTCAAAAATTTTGACCTGTTTAGAATGCATATTTATACAAAAAATTGTTTTAAAAAAATCAGAATTTTTAAAATTTTCATAAATTTTATTTTCTTTTATGAATAACTCCATATATATTCAATATACTTAAAAAATAACACAAAAAAATTTTAGTTTTTTTTTAACAAAGATTTTCCTCTTTTATTCTTTTTTTTTGTAGGATAAAAAATTACTGAGATAAAAACGTCTAAAACCTAAATTTTAGTACGAGAACCAAGTAACCTGGGCACTTTAACCTATTATCTTGTAAAAAATAGGGGATTTAAAAGATTAAATTTAATACGACTTTATAGCCCTTGAAATTAGCCCTATAAAATGGTAGAAATTAACGGTGTTATTGTAAAAAATCAATAACATTTGTTTAAAAACATTTTTGAAGTAGAGATTTAGATTTAGTTAGAGTGTCCTTTATTAAGACCACCACTAAAAATAGTGCAGTACAGTTTTCATCTTTGGTCCCAACGATTGCTGCACTGGATGAACACATTAAAAAAGTTTATTTACAAATACAGATATGGCTTGGAAACAAAGACATTCGTCCAGTTGACTGAGGATGGTGCAAAATTGAAGAGTCTTTGTTTCCAAATAAAAATCCCAATCCACCTGCTCCAGAAGAATTGTTAAAAATGATTTTTTGCAACTGCAACAAAGGGTGCGGCGCTTCTTGAGGATGTCGAAAAGTAAGGTTATTTTGCAATGCAGTCTGCGGATCATGCAGGGGGGTCAATTGCCAAAATTGCCTTCCCATTAATGAAAAAGGAAACATTGGTGAAGAGAGTTCTGATGAAGAGTGAAAAATTACCAATTAAAGTAATATTAATATTTGATTAATTTATAAAACACTAATAAAATAAAAAAATAAACTTTTCATACATTTTAATATATTTTTTTACGTTTTCCTCTTAACTAACAAATTAAAATTTTTAAAGTCACATAAGCACTGATAAAATTGTTCAAAGTTTGGAATATTTTAATAAAGTTTATCATAACCAATAAAAAAGTTTCTAAATAATTAAAAATATTAAAGATAATAAAATTTTCATACACATATAAAGATAATAACATTTTTCATAATTTTTATGACAAGGGGTAGTTTTTAAGGGTGCAAAATTACGCAATAAATACTTTAATACTCAGTAAATGAGATTTCAATTCAGTATGGTATTATTCAAATAATTAAAGTTTCTTGAAATTAATTTTGTCAATGATTCTGCTTGAAGGGGGTAGTTTTTAAGGATTAAAATGTTACAGTCAATCAAAAATTATATCATAAACATTAAAGAACTATTTGGGTAATATTAATATGCGATTTGATATTTCAGAAATATAAAAAATGATTTTTTTATGATTTCGTTTTAAGGGTTAGTTGCTAAAAGGGTTGAAAAATTAATTAAAATCATAAATCATGCGTATAAATCGGGCAAAAAAATTATTTTATTTAATTAATCAAGTTTACTTTTGCCAGAATGCTTATATCTGCATTTTTACCATTTATAACAAAGGGGTGGATTTCACCCCAAAAATGCAAAAAGTGTAAGGTAAACATATATCACATTTAAAGTAGAGGATAAAATATACTCAATCCCAAATTTTCATGCAAATCGATGGAGGTTCACCGAAATGAGAGGTAATAGTTGATTTTTGCCTCTATTCACTGTACTATTTATAAAAATTACTTTTACGTAGCCCCCCTAGAGAAGTTAGAAGATTTTCTGTTGGTCTTAAAACTATAATTTGAATACGCTTTGTCAATATAGGTTTTAAATTTGGACCATTTGGAATATTTGGAATAAAATCAAAATAGAAACAAAAATAAAAAAGTTAGTTAACGTCAAAATGAGTTTTAAATAAATTTGGCCCACCTTGTATATTATATAAATACAGACATTATAATTGAAAATTAAAATTTGTATTTTTATCTAAAGTATAAATTTTATTTACCTTCAGAAAAGATGGCTCCTGGTTTGATAAAACTGAAATAGAAACATATTGAATATTAATTTAGGGATTATATTTGTGAGATTTTTAAAAACTTACCACCTGTTATTAAGCTTAGTGTTATAATACATACTACAATCTGCAAAAAAAATAAACTGGTTAATTTAATTAAAGATATAATAATAATAAAATAACCTTAAATAATTAATATCAAAAGACGGTAAATCAACAACACAACTTGCTTGTACTACAGTTGAAACCTAAAATCAAAGTAAAAATTAAATATTTTAATAAATTATTAAAAAGTAGACTAAGTAGAGTAAATTTAGAGAAAAAGTAGACGACAAAATAAACTGAAATATAAAAGTATATTTTAATAAAATTTAAAGAAATATATATTATTAATAGAGATACTGGAGATACAATTAAAATACTTTAAAAAACCTTGGAAAAGCAACTGGAGAATTAGAAGAAACCTGCTGGCACTCAAGTCCAAGAGACAATAAAAGAAAAAGAACGATAAGGGAACCACATAAAAATTTTAGGTAGCCAATACCTATTAATACAATAACCTAAGAATATTATTATTACTTCATCTCACTAGGATCACATTTCCTAGTTGCAGGTGACTGGAATACCAAACATAACTCGTGGGATCAAGAATCATAAAGCAGAAAGAAAAACATTCTCTAAGCACCACATAATAATCTAATATATAACATATATCTAGCGAAGAGTCAACATATTGGTCAAATGATAGGATTACTTTACCAGATATACGTGACTTACACTACATTATTAACTGCGAAATAAAATTTAGTCTTGATCGTAGTTCTGATCATTAAAGCTCGGATTTATAGGCAACAAAAATTGAAGAAAAAGGCGCCTATATAGGCAAAGATTTTTATTAAAAAAGGCAGGAATATTAACATTTAGCCAAATATAGGCAATAAAGGAATATAACTTATTATTTATTGTACAAAGTAAATTAACGTAATATTAACTTAAGGCAAGTATATTTACACATCATAATCATAACATTAGTATAAATAAACTAGTAACTAAATAACTGTTAATTAATAATTAAACATTGTAACCACTTAAAATTTTATCATTAATAGAAACAACTAAATGTTTTTCAATATTTTCGGTCTTAAAACTATGTCTTCGATCACTTAAAATTAATTTGTACATTGAAAACGAACGTTCGACATCGACAGATGTAATTGGAGCATATTTCAGAGCGGATAATAAATCTGGCATAATTTGAAATTCCTCGGAAAATGTCCCATTCAAAACTTTAGCAACATTAGATAAAAACGAAAAACCTTCATTCTTGTCGAAAACATATTTCATTTTTTTAAAAATTAATTGACCGTTACTTCCAGGTGCCGATTTAATTTTCGTCTTTAAATTATCTATTAATTTTACTGACTCACATAAATTTATCTCTTGTTTTTCTAATAAGGTAATTGTGGTAACTATTAATTTATAATTGTCATTGATATAACCGAGTTCCTGTTTCAATTTGGGATTTTTTAATATTTTTTTTGCTTCTCGAATGGCTTCGGAAATATCATCATCAAATTCTGACATAACTAATTCTATTTCATTGCAGTGTTCAAAGTAAAAAAAGACTGCTTCGAGCCAGGTTCCCCACCTTGTAATTACTGGTTTAGGTGGCAAAGGGACACCGGGAAGTCTTTCTTTATATATTTGCACCCTCAACGGAGCCTTTACAAAAACTTTTTTCATAAAATTTATAAAATTATTTACCAACGGAAACAGATTTCTTATTTCTTCAGCAATTCTATTTACCCCGTGGGCTACACAAGTGCAATGAATTAAATTAGGATAAAAAATTTTTAAATTAACAGCAGCTTTTAACATATATGCCGCAGCATCTGAAAGCATTAAAACTATTTTATTCACTGGTATAGCGTTGGGTAAAAAGAGGTTTGTTAAACTATCTTGTATAAATCGACTTATTGTTAAATTGTTTGTTTTTTCCAATTCTTTAACGGCAACTAAATAAGGTTTTCTCGCAAAGTTTTCGTTCAAAATTCCAATAATTAAATTAGCTATATACCTGCCGCATACATCTGTCGTTTCATCCACGATAATATACAAAAAATTGCCCTCCAACTCGTGCTTAATTTTTGAAATACATTCCACATAACATTTTTCCACAGTATGTTTTCTCAATGTACTCTCGTCCGGTAAGGATTTATTAAGATATTTTTCAAAAAAGCGTTTAAAACTAGGGTTATTAACTTTATATAGAGGAATGTTGGATGCAATCATCATCTGGCATAAATCAAATTTAAATGCGTCTTCCTCCTTTTTTTTTGAACTGCTTAAACTATCCCGCAGAGATGTTTGGGCTAACTTAGAGGAATTTAATTTTTCCAAATTACGTTTATGAAGTGGGGTTCCACAATGCTGGTCAATAAAGTACTTTTTTCTACTTGAAATCTGAGAATTAAAAAAAAATAATTAGAATTCTAAAACCGCTTTAGAATTTAGTTATGTTGTGGGACGAGAAAAAAAGAAAAAAAAAATAAAACTTACCGATTTGCCGCATGGTTTACAAAATGCTCCATCTCCTTCTAGAGAAAGTTCCGAATAAGGTGCGATCCATAGCCTTAATTTAGATGTCATCTTTTCACACAACTGTCTTGAACGTTTTAAAACGTGTTCTTTGCTTTTCGGTATACGCAACAAAACTAAACTAGGATATAGCAATTTGCTAATTTGTGAGTAAACTCTGATACAGTAACCGACTGTACAACTGATAATAAACTAATAAAGCTTAGGGATTTCCAAATAGTTAACCCTCAAGTCTCGATCAGGTACATTTTCCTAGAAATCTATTATATAAACAAACCATTGATATTTTATTATTGACCCAAAATTTTATTATAGAATGGTTTAGTAATAGAATAATATCATGGTAGTACCATGAAATTTTAAAAAAGGCACAAATAGGCGGAATTTACGAAAAAAGGCAAAAAGTGCAAAAAACACTTATAATAGGCAAAATAGGCAAAAAAAGGCATTTTGCCTATAATCCGAGCTTTACTGATCATAGTCCCATATTCGTAACTGTAGGAACAGAAATCTTGCATAATAAAGATATTTTTCGCTTGATTACTAACCAGACACATTAAAAATCATTTTAGGAATAAATTTATAAACCGAATTTAAAGGTTAATATGAGACTTAAGGAAAAAAGGGAATCCAAGATGCACTTTATTTTGGTTTTAAAAATTCCGTGTAAAACCCCAAAAATCTACATTTGACAATATACCACCATACATACACCAATATACCAATACAGATTTTGGAAAAACAAGGAGATAGACGGACAGGATCTAGGACAATTGCCCACAAACAGTTTCCCGAAAGACAAATCCTTGAAAGCAATTCCCCGAATGTACATTTTCCTGAAACACGAATGGACTGAATGGACAATCGCTCAATTAGACAATTGGCAGAAAAACTTCGTCTTCTTCTTCTTAGGGTGCCTGTCCGTTCCGAACGTTGGCGATCATTCTGGCTATAATAATTTTGTTGGTTGCTATACGAAATAGCTGTGTTGAGGTTTTTCTATACCATGCTCTCAGGTTAGTAAGCCAGGATATTCTTCTTCGTCCTGGGGCTCTTTTTTCCTTCAATTTTACCCTGCAAAATGCGTTGGAGTAGCTCGTATCTACCTTGATTTCTCATAATATGTATCTTAAGGATTCTTCTGTATAACCATAATTCAAACGCCTGAAGTTTTGATAGAGTTTCCGCCTTCAATGTCCACGTTTCTACTCCATACAGAAGCACTGAGTATACATAACATTTAAGGAGCCTTATTTTTGTTATCAGGGTGAGGTCATGGCTTTTGAACACAGAGCTCATAGCCAAGAATGCACTTTTGGCCTTTCCGATGCGAAATTTAATTTCTTGGGTATTGTCCCACGACTCATTGATCCCAAGTAATTGTATTGTGACACACGTTCAATTCTCATTTGGTTCACATACAGATTTGCTCCAGTTATGTTTTGTTTGCTGATGATCATTAGCTTGGTTTTGCTGGTGTTTATATCCAGTCCTACTTGTTTCTACTTGTTTCTGTTATTATATTTGTTTATAAGTTTTGCAGCCCTTCTATGGCATTGGAAAACACTATTGTATCATCTGCATACCGCAGGTTATTAAGCTTGACTCCATTTATTGAGATGCCTTCATCATCTTTTAGGGCCTTTTCAAAAATGTGCTCCGAGTACAGATTGAATGTTAGTGGTGAAATTATGCACCCCAGTCTCACTCCTCTTAAGATTTTGACCTGTTCTGTATATTCTCCATCTATTCGGAGTACCGATGATTGATTCCAATACAGATTAGCTATAATTTTTAATTCTCTTCCATCAATCCCTGTCCTCTTCAGCACTTCCATCATTTGTTCATGCCTGACTCTATCGAAAGCCTTCTTGTAGTCAATCAGGCATACAAAAACATTAAAGCTGACATCTCTACATTTCTGAAACAAGATCTGCACGCTAAATAAAGCTTCCCTCGTATCAACGGCGTTCACAAATCCAAACTGATTGGGCGCAATTTGTTCCTCGCATTTCCGGTAAATTCTTTTGTGGATGATCTTTAAAAACAACGTCAGCAGATGGCTCATTAGGCTTATTGTCCTATAATCTTCACAAACTTTTGCTCCTGGTTTTTTGGGCAATGGTACGAACTCCTATTTGAGCCACTCTACTGGTATTTTCTGCTCTACTGGTAGAAAAACAATTACCCGAAAAGAGAATTGACCGAAAAATATATTTCAGTAGTTATTGATTTACCTGTATTATTTATTATTATAATATATGTTTGATATTTACATGTATTTCCTATATACTAATACGATAAATTATGTGCTATTTCCTGCACGCATTAAAGCTCAACTAAATTTCCTTGCTTATTACATTACAATGTTTTCTTTAACAAAGTTGTTGAACTGCTAACGAGCTTATTAAATATTCTATTATTTATAAAAAACAAAATTTGTTTAATTTACTGTTTGTATTTTGAGAACGATTTCCGAATTGGAAATTGAAACGTCAATTAACGTATCTTTACCTTTAGTTGTGGCTT